ACACTGTTAACGATAAGTAAACAGTATGACAATATACATGTTGTTGACTACTGAAACAATGTTAACGATAAGTAAACAGTATGGCAATATACATGTTGTTGACTACTGATACACTGTTAACGATATGTAAACAGTATGACAATATACATGTTGTTGACTACTGATACACTGTTAACGATAAGTAAACAGTATGGCAATATACATGTTGTTGACTACTGATACACTGTTAACGATATACGATAATGTTTATATAGTTAATTTCATGTTCTACCTTTGCAATAGACGTTTAGCATTGTAAATGTCAAACATTTTATATTTCACTCAGCCACACTATGTGTTGAACAAGATTGATATATATTGATCATAAAATCATATATTCATGGTGAAAATAGCAAAGTTCATATCTAAAGTAAACCTGCAAAACAGCAGATCATGCGGAAAGAAGGAAGCATGAATTGTTGATACCGGCCTAGGCTATCAATAAACAACGCTAACATTTATTTAAGAGAATCGTCCAATCGTGACCAAAACAACGCTCGTCCCGCGTCCTTGTTTGTCCAGTCTATGTATGTCATTGTCTGTAACAAATTGCCAAGTACGCTGTTGACATTGCGTGCACTGATCTCCTCCAGGAGAATTAGGACTACAGAGGATACACCGTCGCTCACTACTCTTCTGTAAGCTGTGGTGGCCTCGAACTGGCACCACTCGCTCCGGGCAAAGTTGTTGGAGAGAACGACAATAACCTTTCGACTGGATTCTATGTTGTTGAGGATGTTATCTGCTATAAAGTTTCCCGGTATAAAATCCCGTTCGTGTAGACAAAGTCTGAGCTTCTTCTGAGATTCTAAATACGGGAGAAGATGGGAAACAATCCATGGCCGATCCGTGTAATGGTATGCTACGAAGGCGTCGTAAATATAGGCCTCTCCATCAGGCAAACTCTCGTAGCCCTTCCGAGATCTCATTAGATAAATATAATGTTTGATATTCCACCTTTTCCTGTAAATGACAACACCTATGATACACGCCACTACTACCACACTCCCTACTATAATACCCGCCTCCATCAACACACTGCCATTGTTTTGTTTCTCCGGTTTTCTGCATTCTTCGTCAGTTGGTGACCAGCTGTACAGCTGAATTCCCTTCAAATTGTCAGGAGATTCACAAAAATATTGTTCTGGATAACCTTTTAATTTGTTATAATTATCTGACACCCAGTGTCTAAATCCACACAGGCCATATGTGCAATCAAACGGGTTACCATGGAGATCAATGCTTGGCGTCTTTCTCCAGATTTTATCTGGAAAATCACTTTTTTTAAGCATTGCAATATGATTTCTGCTGAAATCAATATGCTCAAAATTTCGTTTATGAATGAATATGTTTGCATCCCAGTAAGATATATAATTCTTGTGTAAATTGAGGCGTCTGAGTTCAGGAAACTTTCCAACAAATCCAATTTGTGTGAGTCCACAATCTATTAATTCTAACTCCTCTAAGTTGACTAATGGTAAAAATAACAAGTTTAATTCATTTTCATTGAAGGCTTTTAAGTTCAGGTTCTTTACAGATAGTCTAGTAAGGCCACTGCAGTTCTGAAAGAAGTGATACGATCCTGGATGGTTCTTAATGACTTTACTTTCGGTGATTTCGAGCTGCAGCGATTCGAGCGTTTTTGAAACGAACGCATTGCCGTCAATTTTAGTCAGAGGATTCATTTGTCTTAATGAAAGATTCCTTAACAGAACAAGATTTGAAAATACTTGTGTATCTATACGTATCAAATAAGCATTACTGTCGAGAATTAACGTCTGGAGCGAGGGTAAACAGTCTCCTTCTTGTCTGAGGATATCGATGGATGTAAATGCATTGTGCGAGAGATCGAGATGAGATAAAAACCGTAGGATAGGTTGTTTGTTTCTACATAATACAGGGAGTTCTTGACATAGTTTTGTAGAGTGCAGTTGTAAGCTCTTGACGTTTTCAGGAATGCTTGTGAAATTCAATTTTCTCAAATAATTGCCACTCAAAGTTAGATTTTCTACACTTGGGCATCCATGTTTAAGACTCGTCGTGTTAAGATACCATATTCTATTGTTACCAAGGTTTAAATTCTTCAAAGTCTTTGGACACATTTCAGATGCATTTGGTATTGACGTTATCATGGCATTGGCGAGACTTAAGTGTGTAATGTTTGTTACATGTACGGCCTTTAACACTTGCTTTACAAGTTTTCGTAAATTGTTTCTGCTGAGATCCAAAGTTTCCAGAGAATGAAGAAATAAAAATGCATCGGAAGACACACCAGTGATATTACACGTATCCAGTTTCAAATAGGTAATCTTCAATGTGTCTACGTTCTTGAATGTTTGAGAGGAGACATTTCCCAAGTTGTTCCCCGTGAAAATAAGTTGTTTAGTATACCGAGGAAGCTGCGGGACTCTCTTGTAGCCTGCACTGTAACACATGACAAAGCCTGTTGTTCCGTTGCACTCACACTTGCTAGGGCACAGCTCCTCACCTGCTGCGTACATCAGGAAAAACATCATGCCAAGCAGAAACGACATCTTGTCTGAAATTTGATTTGGTTTGGAATAGAATATTTTTAATTAAAAAAAAAAAAAAAAAAACATTAGTCATCAAAGCAAGGAAGGAAAGCTCAACAACAAATGCATATCATTTCTATTTATAGCGTAAGCCACAACATGTATAATTCACAAAGCCAGCTTAATTGAATTGAATTTAAAGGTACATGTATATTGACAGGACAGAGATAAACCTTCCATAACAAGGTCGAGAAAAAATACGTTGCGTGATAGTTGCCGAATACATTCAGAGTTGATTGGTATTCTGATACAGTTTAAGTGAAAGAAATTGTTAAATGCGCAAAAATATTTCTTGGCATACAAGACCCATTTCATAATGAAGATATCGTTGGAACCAGAAGTTAATTTAAGAAATGAGAAGCGTACATTCCACTAGAAATAGACGATGTTGACATCTAAAACTGTATGTAACTTACTTCGTTGATAAACAGGAGTCGCCAAATTAGTCCCACTGTGTGAGTATTCAGGCCCTGACTTTCTCTTTTAAATTACGAAGGAGGAAGTATCATGGATTTTCTGTGATATCACTATGCTGTTAGCAGATTGGACCTCACTGTTGCGAGACCAACGCTGACAGGTGTAAATAGATGTGAGAAATAGCCTGCGTGTTGTTGGCCATCGTTATCATATTACATCTGTAACATCTATAAAATCTTGAATTCATGTGATCCATATTATATATGTTAAGTTTGATAACCTTATCATAAAATCGAGCACATCTTTCCTATGTATCGGGATACGTATCGCAATATATTCATTCTGTATTGCGATCAATCGTGATGTATGTATGTATGTATGTATGTATGTATGTATGTATGTATGTATGTATGTATGTATGTATGCTAATAAAAAAGAAGTAACGTTATTTTTTTTTATAAATATATAACATCTGTGCTAAAAGGTTTAGAGTTACACATCGTAAACCGGATAAGGAACAAATAAATCTTAAATCTTCCTGTTTGTTCTGTTATTTCCTGTAATATATTCTATCCTGGTTTGATGAGGGTGTTTTATATTTTTTATATTATTTTAATTTAGTATTTCCACGTTTTTGTTGCCTTTCTATGCTTCCTGATCAATTCAATTTTCAAAAAAAAAAAATCTAAATAATTCTGAAATAAAAATCATAGAAAAACTTAAGTTTCTATACAGTGCCAACAGTAGCTGAATATGATGTACCTCGTCTATACCTTATTTCAGATTGCCATGCTTACTACAAGTATTACCTTTTCAAAAGAAACTATTTTTTCATTTACGTAAATATTTGTTAAAAATATTAACTAGTGACAATGATATTTGATTCCGATCTGTCCGGTATTTAATGTATTATGACTTCTGATTTTACGAAATGCTATCCTTTAAACAGCGTTCACTGCTAGAATGGTAAAGCAACAATACTTCAGATTACATACCTGTAACAGTGCTTCCTTTTCATAGCAGGAACTCGATAAGTAAGGCCTTTAGAAGACTGTTGTGGACGTTCTTAACGTGCCTGCATTCGGCATCGTCTGAAAAGTTTCAATGTTATCAAATACACACGAATAAAATAAAGTAATGTTACACAAATCTTAGAACTAAGTGTTTATGATCACGCCACATTCGCGAATAAACACTACAAACCTCTAAAACGTTTAGAATTCTTTATAGTATAAAAACTACAAACCTCTAAAAAGTTTAGAATTCTTTACAGTATAACCACTACAAACCTCTAAAACGTTTAGTATTCTTTATAGTATAAACACTACAAACCTCTAAAACGTTTAGTATTCTTTATAGTATAAACACTACCAACCTCTAAAATGTTTAGAAATTCTTTATTGTATTAACACTACAAACCTCTAAAACGTTTAGAATTCTTTATTGTATAAACACTACAAACCTCTAAAACGTTTAGTATTCTTTATAGTATAAAGAATACTAAACGTTTTAGAGGTTTGTAGTGTTTATATTATAAAGAATTCTAAACGTTTTAGAGGTCTGTAGTGTTTATACTATAAATAATACTAAACGTTTTAGAGGTTTGTAGTGTTTATACAAACCTCTAAAACGTTTAGAATTCTTTATGGTATAAACACTTCAAACCTCTAAAACGTTTAGAATCCTTTATTGTATAAACACTACAAACCTCTAAAACGTTTAGAATTATTTATAGTATAAACACTACAGACCTCTAAAACGTTTAGAATTCTTTATAGTATGGGCAGGGTACAAGAAAGTATTGTGTAATTTTACTTTGTTTTTTAGACATTTTTTCGATTTGAAAATTATTGTGAATTCCGTCTACACGGTGCAGAGAAACATATTACAATCAATGGTTTATTTGTCTAAATTATCTTAATATACTTTATGAATGATGTGCTCTGTTACCCTTTAGTCATGTATAAGAGTGACCGGAGTGCTAGGTTAACAAAGGTTTCCATTACTATTTCATATTGAATGGGATTTCTTGTAAAAATATATTTTCTGTGATTTAATTAGCCTTTTGGATAGTATGCTAATTGTATGTTTTAAGTACCAATTTTTACCGTTTTTATGCTAATGTGAGGCATCCAACATTTTATCTCCAAAATCTAGTAAACCATTGTGATGTATTCTAAACAAGTTGTTACACATACTTAGCCAGTGTTGGTATGATACCTGTGTGACCAATAACTCTTGAAAAAACATCTTCAGTTAATTTCAGGTGAGCAAGTGTGCATGACTGACCAAGTATGTCTTTATGTCTTAAATGTGTTGATATTATTGACCCATTAGTAAAGGCAATGGACAGACAACCTAACTGAAGAAGCAGAATAAGCAGCAAGCAATGGTATGATTAAAAACAGTATATGAAGTACCAAGAACAATTTGCAATGAAAAACGAAAACCACCTCAAGTCATCAAAGACAAGACTGGAAATCCATTATCCAGCAATGATGAGAAACTGAAAAGGTAATGAGGAACACTTTGAAGAAGTTTTAAACAGACCTGAACCAGAAATTCCACTTGACATCAATCTTAACTATGAAATTGAAGAAAGAGAGATAGATACTGGTCCTATCAGGAAAGAGGAAGTTACAAAACATTGAAAAGATTAAAAAATGGAAAATTAGGAGGTGAAGATGGTATAACAGCTGAGATCCTAAAAGCAGACACAATTACAGCAACCAAATATTTGCTTAAGTTTTTCAACATGATATGGATAGGAGAGTAAATACCAAAAGAGTGGAGTAAAGGTCGTATTGTTAAAGAAAGGAGATAGAACAGTATGTGATAACTACAGAGGCATAACACTACTATCTGTGCCGAGTAAGGTATTCACCAAAATCATAATACAAAGGATCCAGGAAGGAATTAATGAAGAGCTAAGAAAAGAACAAGCTGGCTTCAGAAAGGGAAAAAAACACTACTGAGCAACTCTTCACTTTACGAAACATCATTGAACAATGTTCTGAATGGAATGCCCCTTTATACATAAATTTTGTAGACTTCGAGAAGGCGTTTGATTCCATCCACAGGGAAACCTTATGGTCCATCATAAAAGCATATCACATCCCAGACAAACTCATCACAGTAATAAAACTCTGTTATGTTCAGTCATAGACGAAGGGATACAATCTGATTGGTTCAAAGTTTAAACAGGAGTAAAGTAAGGCTGCGCGATGTCTGGTTTCTTATTTCTGTTAGCCATTGACTATTTCATGAAGCAAACAACAAAAGAACATGAAACAGTCATACGATGGAAATTTAACACCAAATTAAAAGACCTGATTTTGCAGATGATCTTGCACTACTATCTTCCAAATTCTAGCATATACAGCTGAAAACAAACAAACTTCAAGAAAATGCCAGCAAGATTGGATTGAAGGTAAATACTTCCAAGATTAAAGTAATCCGGATGAACACCACTAATAACAACCCAGTGAAGTTGAATGAAAAAGACCTAAAAGATTATTGATACCTTTACTTACCTAGGAGGAATAGTAACAACAAAAGGTGGCTGTAACAATGATATAGACAAGAAGCGAAAGGCCAATTCAGCAGATTAAGAAAAAATTGGAGATCATCAGTACTGTCATTCAAAACAAAGGTCAGGCTATTTAACAGCCTGGTTATATCAGTTCTACTGTATGGATGTGAAACCTGGAAAACAACAGAAGAAGACAAAAGGAAATTGAACACCTTCCAAACTAGATGTCTGAGACATATTTTGAAAATAAGATGGCCCAACACCATATCAAATGAAACCCTTCACATCAGAGCTGGAACAAAGAAACTTAGTGATGATATTATATGTATTATGTATAATAGTTTTTTAAACTTATTTGTGGTTAGTTAGTCCATGCATCGTCAAGCGCGATGACTCCTGTAACTGTGTACTTTATTGTAAGACTGTTACCACTGCTGCACAGCGCTGGTACACACAACGTTAATATTTATATAACTCTTATCAGGTACAAAGCAGGACCTTTTACATTTAGTTACGTCGTCATCGGGTTTATAACGCTGCTGTTAACTTCCTGCGTCTTGTAGATGGAAACCATACGAAAATGGCGTAATTATATCCTCTTCAATTTCAGATTGTATGAGGAGGAGCATAATGTATATGGATATGTATCTTATTTCACGACACTTATCATTTGTTCTTTGAATACAAAGAGCTACAGCCTTTTGTATACACTCCATATGACCGCAGAGTTTCGTACCTGTTTGCTTGGAATTTCCACATCAGATTTGCATTTTGATTAACCGTTTCGCCACTGTAGACCATATTGGACACATCCATGTCAATGCATGGTAGAGTCTAATGAAGTTACACAGGGGTGGAAGGCTAAAGGCCTGGTGTGTTTATCAAGGTTTTATATATCACAGTATATCACTATGTAAAACGTTACCCTTTATCTTTAGACAGCAGATCGATAGTGTACAAATAAACATACATGTGCATTGTAGGTATGTGAGTTATAAATTATGACATAGCAAGAAATAGATACAAAATATGAAGCATTGCATTCAAAATGATGAGACATTTAATAATGTATCCCTACTGCAATGCAAAGAGAATGTTCACAGAAAAGATTATGTTTAATATAAGAATATCATCCATCAACTATTGTCTACATCCTCTCAATCTGTTTAGCATTACATGTAATACAAAATAGCGAGAAAGCTATTTGGCTGATTCTTTATAGTTCGTTTGCTATCAAGACTCGTAAATTGTTATAGTTACAGACTGTACATGTAGCACATAGAGAAAAAATACGTCAAAGAGACTTTGGGAAAAATCATTGCAGTACATTATAATAACATGATTTCAGATATATAGGATCTTACATGAGATTCCATGTCAAATGAGATTTATGAAACAAGTCAAAACATTCGTAACGAGTTTCATAAATATCATAGCACATGGAAACGAGTGCTTTTTTAGGACACGAAAACGAGTGTACAATCCTTTTTATCATTGAAATACTGTCCTTTCATTCGATAACATTGTATCGTCCGTCATTTCACCAGCTGTATTTTTGTTGTCATGACCGAACCACTACCATCAAAATGTAGGTCAGATCTATCTGCACTGTAACAGAAAGACACAAATAATGTTTAAAAAACACACAAACAACATGGATAAATATTAATGTTTAATCCATTTTTTAAATGCTTTGTACAAATATAGAGCTTTAGCTGAAATTTGGAGACAAAACAGATCAACAAGTTCACACGGTTCACGCTACGTCACAGAGCGCAACATTTCAAAGCGTCACACCACGCGGAAATTTGAGGTGTCAACAGCTTCACTTAGACTGGCTATCACTGTCCGATTCGATAATCATATAAGATGAATTAACATGATTTTCCTTAGTTGACAGAGTTAAGCAATTCATTCCAAAATAAGTTTCGTCCTGTTTGATCATTCGTCCACTCAATAGCAGTGTTGTTCTGAAGTAGGATTCCGAGCGGTCCAGACATCTGAAGTAACTCTACCTTCTCTAACATCACTAGAATAACAGTGGAAGACCCCTCCTCCAGGAATCTACTCTGGGCCATCAACAGCTCAAACTTACACCATTCATTTGATGTAAACGAATTCGATAGAACCAAAATCAACTTCCGGCTTTTTCTCATATTGTCGACAATGTTATCCGCAATCAATTTCCCAGGATCAAAGTCTCTGTCATGCAAACATAGTCTGAACTTTTGCTGCTTTTCTAAGAACGGCATCAATTTTGTCAGTACCCATAGTCGATCATCACTATTGTAGGCTACGAACGCGTCGAAGTGGAAGCAATCTTCCTCTGCTATCCTCTTATATCCCCTCTTTGCACAACAGAGGTACACGTAATATTTGATATGCCATCTGAATTTGTAAATCATTGCACCTAACATGATTATCACAAAGAGACACACGGACAAAACAATGACCATCACCACTAAGGGGTCCAAGCAGTCAGTAGCATTTGGATAGTAATCATTGACCAGTCGATTTTTCATTTCCTGTGGGGATTCACAGTAGTACAAGCTCGGGTATTTTCTAAGCTTCATTATGTTGTTAGGGATCCATTCCCGTCTGAACCAGTACAAAGGACACGAGCAGACAAACGGATTGTTGGAGAGGTCCAGCATTAACAAATTATCCCACACATGGGCGGGGAAGGAGTTTTTATCAATATCCGTTATATGATTTAAGCCAAAATCTATATAACGCAACGTGTTGGATGTTGGGAATACACTGTGTTCCCATTTACTGAAATAGTTTCCAACCAGTGTAAGCGATATAAGATTGGAGGTGTGATCCAGAAATCGTTCAGGCAAACTGCTTATGTCTGCAAACTTCAAGGTCAGGTTCCGCAGATTTTTCAGCGGTGCAATAAAGTTTCCAAGAAATTCGGGGTCACGTTCAGGAATTTTGAGTTGGATAGTTGTGAGGTTTGTAAGACATGTAGTATACTGAAACAAATTCACCGAATCATTACTAAGTCTGAAACTTTTCGCACTCCCAACAAGAATAACTTCCAGTGACTGAGAATAAAATGCCTTTGGCGCTATATTCTGAAGGCGACCAATAAAATCCATCGAGAGGTTTTTCAGCGATGTAAGATTTGAAAAAGTGTAATCTGGTATATCTCGAAGTGGCAGGTAATCCAAGAACAATGTCTTTAAATTCGGAAAACATGAACCATATTCCTGTAATTGTGTTAAGTTTGTAATGAAGTTCCCTGATATATCCAACTTTTCTAATGAGTTGTTACCATCAAACCTGCACGATAAATCCAGATCAGTTACCTCGTTTCCTCTAACAGATAAGGCGGAGATAGTTCCAGACATTTTTTGAAACGAAATTGTTCTGATCTGGTTGTCATCAGCGATAAGAGTATTCAAATTAGGAAACATACTCGCAAATATTGAAGTACTCATTTCGTTAAAGTTGTTTCCAGATATGTCCAGAGTTGTCAAGTTGGTTAATGGATCATTCATAGGAAGCTGGGATAAACCTGAGAACTTCAATATGAGTGTATGTATTGCAGTGTTGTGTACCGCCTGTAATACCGCCCGTGGGACTTTATAACCACTGGTATCTAACGTGACTAGGTATGGCAAACTGGTAAAAGCCTCTTCACTAAGGTAATATATATCACAGTAGCTTATATCAAGACTGTTGATTTTTAGATGTTTCACGTTTTTGAATGTGTCGTTTGAGACGTAGTGGAGTGGATTATGTGGAAACAGGATCGTGGTTATTCCCGAAGGTAGAGGCGGTATTATTTGGTCACCTATCCCGGAACAGTTGGCGATGTGACCGGTGCAGGAACAGCCATTAGCACACAGTAATATTTCGTCGTGGTCCGCGAAAGGCCTGGCTAATACATAAACAGATGAACATAGAATGCTGGTAGTCCATAGCGTTGTTAACAAATATATTCCCATTCTAACTCAGTACCGCGCCTATGTCTGTATTTGTCTATGATGACATTCACATGTGTGGAGCTTTATATTCATGCAAACAGTAGATAAAAGTATTTGTAAAGAGGAAGTTATACCCGACTCGACGACCAGTAACAATATAAAAAAACGCAAATCTACGTTGTCAAGGTCTCTATCAAAAGAAGGAAGTGCAAGTGTGTTTGTTTTTAGTTTCTGACTTGTATAGGTATTTCAGGAGAACGTCCAAACAAGGAAGTAGTGTTATCAGTAGTGTATAGTTGAACAAACTTTTTCGATGTTTAATGTAGAACGGATGCACTTAATATATTTTAACAACTTAACAGAAATGGGAGAAGGAATACATGCAGTGACTTTTGTGACAATAGAGAAGACATTGCACGCCGAATAAACCATAAAATCTACAGACATTAAACGGGTGACACATGTGACTAAAGGCTGGTAGCTATAGTTAGGGTCCGTTGAAGAGATGAAATAATGCTTCATCTAACATTTTACATTAGACATTAGACAGATAAAATATATAATATCGGTTATCGATTGTGATTATACAGCAGCAAAATATTTCAAAAATTATACTACAGCCTCGTGATTCAATCTACATAGTTAATATATACCCGAGAATAAACAACCGGAATAGACCAAGCTATATCCTCAAGTAAGATTTTTTTGCACCATATATGATACCTTTAATGATGTGAAATTAACGAAATGTGGTCGTAAACTAGTTGTATCACGAAGTCATTCCCGTCACACCGTTCCCTTCTAAGGGCCCCACTCCCTATCTATCTAAATAGTCTTATTAAAGTGCATTCACAGCTTGATTTAGCCATCAGAATAAATATACGTGATGCACCATCATACGTACATTGAAATAGATACCTGTTTGATAAAGGAACTGATTACATGTTTTGTTACTGACAGAGTCGTAAGGCGAGGTTCTACCTCATGTTATATATCAGGCAGTAATGCGTCAGTGTGTTCGTTATACTCTTCAACATACGAATCTACCCTAGACGCTGTCATATATTATTGTCCCTGTGTAACAACGCCGGGCTCTATATCTATCCTCAATATTCACGATTGTGTATGTGTTGTCTTTGTGTGTTGACACTGCAGTATGTTTTGTCCTTCTGATCACTGTTGTTATCAATAATTAACATTTTAGGAGTGCATATGTGGTTGTAAATGTACATGACAAAGATATAACTGACTTTTCACGACCATATAACCAGAAATATAACTCCTAAATATTGAAGTTAGACATTTTAGAAAATCAGTTAGATAAAAGTGATGCAATTGGCAGAGAGTAATACGACGTGACAACTGAAGTAAAGAAAATATTGACACGATGCTTTTAAAAACAGTTACATTGAATCCATGAAATCAACGACTTGCTAACGCCCACATTTTGATAGTTAAATAAGGATTACCAAAGGTTAATCAACACGTGTTTTCTTTTCTTTTAAAACAGAATTTTCAAAAGTGGAAGCTTGAACATTAGGTCATAGAGCGATAAAGAGCACCATAGATGACTTAAATAAATAAAATATAGCACACAGTTAAAAATCATTTTCATATTGAGAAGCAATTTTATTTTCTTCAAATTAGCAATCTCTTGTAGAAAACGGAAACTCCGGTCAACTACTGATTCATATTGCTTTAGTTATTCTGAAATAACCAATTATAACGAATATCAACCAAAACGTACCTAAATATAGATCATACACATGAATAATACATCCTCAAGGAAAAATATTGCTACTTAAATTGGCGACACATGCGTAGATGTTAAAACCTACCATCAATATCCTCAATATATAATATGTTCTAGTTCACAACTATCACTTCTATCCTAAACAATCTGTTCTAGTTCACAAATATCACTTCCATCCTAAACAAACTGTTCTAGTTCACAAATATCACTTCCATCCTGAACAATCTGTTCTTGTTCACAACCATCAAAATCATCCTAACCAATCTGTTCTCATTTACAACCATCCCTTTCATTCTAAACAATCTGTTCTAGTTCACAACCATCACTTCCATCCTAAACAGTCTGTTCTAGTTCACAACCATCAAAATCATCCTAACCAATCTGTTCTCATTTACAACCATCACTTTCATCCCACTTTTACAACTATCACTTCAATCCTAAATAAACTGTTCTTCTTCACAATAAACCATCCCTTCCATCCTAAACAACATGTTCTAGTTCACAAATATCACTTCCATCCTAAACAATCTGTTATAGTTCACAAATATCACTTCCATCCTGAACAATCTCTTCTAGTTCACAACCATCAACATCATCCTAACCAATCTGTTCTCATTTACAACCATCACTTTCATTCTAAACAATCTGTTTTAGTTCACAACCATCCCTTCCATCCTGAACAATCTGTTTTAGTTGTTCAACTTTCACTGCCATCTGAGAACAACATCTGTTCGGGTTCACAAACAGCACTTTAAATCAAAACAATCTTTCCTAGTACACAACCATCACAACCATCCTAAACAACCTGTCCTACTTCTAAACCATCACAATAATCCAAAATAATCTACCCTTGTTAACAACCATCACAAACAATAGTTAATATACAATCATTCCAAATAATAAGGCGGTTTACCATCATCTCAAACACTCTTTCGTATAACAGACAATCTTATCAAATCTATCCAAGGTTATGACAGTCCCACAGAACCTGTCATGGTCGGCTTCAACTTCCTGTTTCATACGGCAAACAAATTAATAAATGACGTTTTAAAAGGGAATGAAACTAGTGTCGTACTTAATGAACAGTAACATATTCTGTTGAATTTGTTTCAAAAATATCTGTCATGGTATCATTGAATACAAAAGAAATGCATACGTGACTGTCATGAAACTTCTGAAGATGGGCCATAGCCATAACAAATAGAATGTCATATTGTGACGTGGGTAGGTATGTTGTGAAATCCAGGTCTCGTACAGAGGGTACTGCTTGGATGGGCAAGGAGTCGGTAACACAAGGCCCGAGATCTGTCATGTTAAACACAACGGCGTATATAGTGTAGTCCACACCGGCTTCTGTAAAGTTCAGCGTGTCACGTTCAAACACAACGGAGGAATAATTCGTGGATTCAAATGAATTGTTGATGCAAACACAATAACTAGGTAATCCGAATGTGATGTCGCCTAAATGGTAAACCTGCTGCGCATGCACAAACAACAGTATAAATAAGGCCAGGGTAAAACAAGCCTGAGTCAATTTCTTACCAATGGTTATGACCACCATGTCCTTGTTTGTTTTTTGAATTCGTCAAAGTTTATTAGGATGGTCAATGCTTAACATTATTAAATCTCAAAGTGTTGGTTAAGACTGTCTTTTTTGTACCGGTTAAAATCGTTTCTTGTTGGTTAGGATTGCCATTCTTTCACCTGTTTGATTTTCTATCTCTAAGGAAGGTAAGTTGTATCCTACCTAACGACCACGATACACAGTAGTAGATCATACTCTGGAGAGGTAGGTATGGTCTGAAATCCAGATCTCGTACAGAAGGCACTGTTTGGGTTGGAAAGTCAGAATTACATCAGTAATCCTTAATGGCAACGTTTACCCTGTGGACTTGTAATACTTTCTTACCGAGACATTTAAGTTCCTGAAGTAGATGGTGTTTAATTTCCAATGAGAACCATTTTTTCACTGTAGGAGTGTCTTTGTGGTATGGTTTTGCTTCCAATGTGAATCACATCGGTAAGTCTTTTTTATACTGAAGGAATGTCTTTGTGGTAAAGTTTTGCTTCCAATGAGAATCACATTGATCAGTCTTTTTCACTGAAGGAATGTCTGTGTGGGATTTATCCAATGATAATCACTTTTGTCTGTGTTTAGTACTGCAGATATATGTTGTTTTCCCTCGTCATGACGATGTACCGTCAATAACATTCACTCACAACTTCATATATTGTACCGGTAGTTATGAAACGGATATATATTGACAACAAAGTCATGACGATGTTCACTGATGCATATGTGTTTTGATATTTTGTAAGCGTCATATTCCGAAACATTATAGCAAATTACGTAAATTTATCGGTGTTCGTCATGTCAATCAATGAAAGGCAATTTAGTCCAGGTCAAAACATGAACACGTTTGTTAAATTAAGGCCCATTTCCTCTTCGTGACAACGTTTCACAATAAGCCCATTACAATGATATGTATGATTTGTTTAGACAAACACACTGAACAAAATCGATTTCCGTATTCATAGAATAGAAAAGAATACTAACCAATATCGCATTTGTGACAGCCTCTATTAACTTACTGCAATTAACGTCATGGAAAACACAAATCCTTTGAGTAGAATCCCTCTTTAGTGTTAACAATTTTACTACCAGGTGAGACATAGAACACAGATCGCTCTAAGCCAGATCACCAGACTACGACTGCTCGTTTATATAAATCTAAACGAATGCATATAGGTGAACTTTAATCTTCTCTGTTACAATTCAATATTTAACATGTTGTGTAATGCGAACTGTATCCGGCATTACTCTGTTTGTTGTCCGTGTGTGGCTGACATGAAGTGCTCTTGAGACGAGGTGCTATCTGTAGCAGTGCCTATTGGTACCACGGTTTGAACAGTGTTAGCCTACTTTGTATGGTTTATTCTCCTCTGTATTCAATTCAAAACTATAAATAGGTGCAAATAATACCACTCTAAGTTTCTATCAGTACGTACAAATTGTATGAGATTTATTGGTATCTATATGTATACTTATATTTGTGTCGACTTTGATTCAGGTTATGCCGGCTTGACAAGACAAGTATAAATCATAAACGAACAATCGCACCTGGTACAGGTAAATGACGTGATATGTAAGTGCTAGTGTATTTACATTCTAGTGAGTTGTCGGCCTTGAGTTCTGGGGCGTTTGACTGTATTTGAAACCCCGGTGTTTGGCTGTCACGATTTCGATTCCTGTATCGGGAGGATCTTGTGTCAGGCCTTTGATCTGATTCTTGAATTAATTGTGTACATGTAAGAAATGCGTATTTTGTGATAATTCCGT